CCTGGAGAACAGTTCCTGGAGGTAAGAGCAGGGTGGGGGGTTGAGGCCCCCAAAGGGGGGGAGGGAGGGAGTTGGGCAGGGCTGGGGATGCTGCCCAGCTGGGCGGTACATGGAGCTTGGGGCCCAGGGCTGGGATGCGTGGCTACAGGGCCTGGCCAGGGAGCAGGATGGGGCTGCAGGCCACTTGTCTGGGAGGCAGGAGGTGGGGCTGGCTCCACTGTGTACACTCCCAGGAGGGCATTGGAGGGCACATGCACCCCAGATCTGTGTGCTGGGTGGGTGCGAACTTGGGGCTACCCACCTTGCTGCCCTCCTGCCAGGGACTTGGCAGCCCAGTCGGCAGGACCTGCCACAGTGGGGCCAGGCAGGGAAGCTCCTTGCTGCTGCAAACTCTATGCTGCCCTGGCAAAGCACCCCCTGCCCACCTGGTAGCAGTGGGGGGCAGTGGCATGGAGTTGTGCCCCTTGCTGCTGTGGGGCAGGCAGAGGGTGCCTCGCCAGGGTGGCGTGGAGCTTTCCCACCGTGCCTACTGGGCCGCAGAGGCCTTGTGGGAGGAGAGCCCTGAGCCCACAGCGGGCAGCCCACACCCACCCTTTCCCCACGGGCTCCACTTCACCGCAGCAGACTCCACTTCCTGTGGGTGGCAGCTGGGGTGTGGGTGCTGCTGCAGGGGGAAAAGGGCTGTGAACCCAGGTCATTGGCCCTGTATCCCTGGCAGCTAGGGCCCCCTCCAACAGGGCTGAGGCAGGATGGGGTTGTGAGTGAGGGGTACCAGCAGGGCTGGAAAGTGAGGGCCCTGGACCTATGTCCTGTGAGCAAAGGGAGCTCTGATTTTCCATGATAACCCAAAATCAAATACCAGAATTTATATGTATTTAGAATGTATTTTATTATAGTGATTGAGGCACTGGTAGGCTTCCAAATTGCTTTAAATTTGTAAATATATCAATAAAACATTGTGTTCAGTTGAAACCTATATCTGTATATCAGTGTGTCATTTTAATCACAGATTTTGGGTTGTTTATCAGAGAATTTGCAATTTTTAAACAGAAAACCAGGATCCCTAGTAATTTCTAAGCTCCAGCAGTGATGAGAGGTAGTAATGTTCTTCATTTGCAAACTGTACAGTACTGTGTGAAGTGAATTACCAGGATGTCACTTAAGACTTTTTTTTAAATGGGTAGAGATATTAAGCCAGAAAGTGGTTCTTTTGGTCCATGTAATAAAGCAACTTTAGCTGAGAACGTACACATGTGCTGCTTCAGCACAGCAGGCTGGAGTGTGGTGTTTAAACTTGCTAAGCCTGTAAGTGCTGGGATCCAGCAGTAAGTTCCTGAATGAGTGACAAATTCTGATCTGTGTTTTTGTGGTCTTTGTTTTCAATGTGCAAGTGCATCAGACAGTAATGCTTTGAATTAAGGTACTATATTTAAATGGTTTTAGGAATGAGTTACCTGGTTGTTATGGAGAGAACATCTGTTAGCTGGTTTAAAACCTGTTTCTCCTAGTCCTTGTTTAAGACTGTTTTTCTTTGGGTTTTTTTTTTCTCCCCCAGGAGGCAATACTCGTGCCACAGGTATGATTCTACAGTATAAGGCTCCAGGGTCAGAGGAGCTTGTACAGCTGAAGTTTACTGCCACTGAAGACTTCAATTCTAATAAGAAGCTCTCAGCAGCCTGGCTAGCAGCTATGCATAAGGTGTGTAAGAAGACATGGAGAGAGTCAAACTGAACACATTTGCCTTACCAGATAAATGGAAAACAAGGCTAACAAACACTTGTTCTACTGTTTCAAATACTGTAATTTTTTATATAGTCTCAGCTGTGAAAGCCTAAGGAAATCCCAAAATGTTAATTTTGCAAATAGCTATAACATAAATAGCTTTTGCAAATAGCTAAAGGATTTTGGAGGTGATTCAACAGAGATGAAGTTGAGTAATCTAACTTTTATAAAATATGCTAAAATACTGTATTAGTTTTTATCTCATTTCACTTAAGTCACAAACACGATGTTCCAGAGGGATACACTATCAGACTGGCCTATAAATAGGGACCTACCTAAATCACAGTTTTGTGGATTTCGTGAAAACGGTGAAAGATGGTGTTATGACTGGGAAATCCGGCATTGGCTGTGACTTCCCGCAAAATCAGCTGGAAAAAAGCAGTAGTGAAACTGGTGGAGGGTGGTTTCACAATCAGTGGCAAGGGACGGGGCAAACAGTTGTAACATATACTGAGTAAAGGTGCCCTCTGCCAGTCAGCAGTGGCGGTGGGGCTGCCATGCCCCTCCACCAATCAGTGGTGAGGAGTGGGGCTGCCACAAAATCAGCCTTTGTCTTGCCATGACTGGGGTAGGTCTTTACCTATAAAACAAAACCTGCCTTGCTAAATGTAGAAGAGATTGTGCTGCCTTTTATGGTCTGGGCCAGAACCTCATCCCTGTTTCAACAACTCTTTCCAAATCTGAATCCATGCTGCAGATAATATCCCCTGTATATTGGAGCTCTTTGAGCTTAGCATTGCCTATGCATCTGACATATTAAAGATGCTTAAAATGCCAATTATAAGAGAATACTGCTGTAATGAATTGTGTAAAGTGGCAGTTGGGTTCCTCTATCAGAAAGGAAAAAGGGGTACGGAGCAGATGGAAGTGAGTTGATGTTGGATGAGTGTTTGAGTCCTGTGCAGCTTAGTTTAATATTCATAATTACCTTCCAAAGAGTAAAATAAAAAAAAATAAGTCCCATCTTTAACGAAGGGTCTGAGGAAAGACTGCAGGCTTGTGGCTTTAAGCTGCTGTTTTGTATACTTGTTTGTTTTAATGCTTGTTTTTTTCTGTGGAGACAAGTTTTTTCTCCCCCTGAAAAATAAACTGGCCAGAAACCCAGGACAGAGTGAACTGGCCTTAATAAGAAAGCTGGGTGAGGGACCTGCTCACAAGGGATCTCGGTGAATAATGTATTAACTACTTAACATTCAGCTTGACAGTGTTCCTAGGCAGAGGACCAGTTGTAGAGAACCTCAGAAAGAAAGGCCAAAGGCCAGTGTCAGCAGCTGAACTGTTGACTGGGATGCTGAAATGTGTCATGGTCAGCTGGCATCACTGCTTATGGGGCTGGCATATAGTTAAAGCACTTTGCATTTTAAAAGGGGTCTCCCAGCAGCCGTTTCTTTTCTGTGCTAGTGCCAAGGCTGAAGTACTGGAAGAAAAAATGCCTGAAGGAAAACAACAAGGTGCATGTCTGCATGAGATCCAAGCAACTTTTAGATTGCCATTACCTAGGCAACATCACTAAATCTTTTTTCCCAAAGGAAATTATATAAGTCACCTGGCACTTCTGTCACAGCAAACTGTTCTAAAGATAACTAAAATCCTGTATGTGGAAATTAACCCCTAAAGAACATTAAATTTAAAAAGTGATGCTGTAAAAGCTGATGCTGCCGAGTTAGAACTGCATTCAATGTTTCTCCTATAGATGTTTATTCAGAGCTGAGAAAAGTGGCCAGGTTTTAAAAACTGTCTGCTTGTCTTGTTTGGGAGAGTGTTTCAGTTAATGTTTTGGGTACTGCAGTGGCAAACAACACCCTCTAACAATGTGTTGGTTTTTGTAATCCTAGGCAGCAAAACTTCTTTATGAATCCCGGGACCAATAACAGCAGCAAGTTGCTTGAGATTTAGAAGAGACCAGCTCTAAGAAAAGTCTGCTTCTTGCTTATGCTAATTATATTTGACACATGGTAATACTTGGTATTATTGACCCCTCTTGTATTCCAGGTGTGGTTCATTATGTAAGTACTGGCAAATGCAATGTGAGTATTTGAACCATGAGTATTCACTTATCTAGTGTGCAATATGTATACAATTAATGCTTTAAAACAGCCTCACCTTTTACGACTTTGTATATTTTGTTAAATCTTTGGCACTTAGCCACTTATTATGAAAGTATGATGTGCACTACAGCTAAATGTACAGCACAACTTTTTGTAGCACCAATTATGTATATTGTATGTGTTTGCCACAAACAGCAAACAAATTTGTATATCTCTTCTACAGAGAATAGCTTTGGGGTATAGATCTCAGGTTTTTCCCTCTTATCCAAATGTTTAAGATCCATGTACAATAAAATCTGCCTTAGATCACATTTTATAGAAGTCATTTTTTTTGGGTTCTCACTTTTTTAAAGTTTCACCAAATACTACAAATTGGGCGTCTGAACATGATCTTAGAACCACCCTTCTCTAGAAAAGTAAGCTTCCAGAGTGATTTTGAAATTTTATATTTTACTTGTGGTAACTCTTGCTTTTGCTAATCTAATTGTAACTAATGTTATTTGGACATTGTATACAGTTTGAAATGTACAAAAATGGAATAAATGAATTCATACTTATTCAAAAGGCAAACTTAAGATGGCGTTTCTTTTTTACACTATGCTGAATTGACTGTTAAACCTCTTCACCAATGAAGACTTTGATACCAGCTTCAAGTGTTCCAGCAGAAGTAGCAATAAAAATTGCAGGGCTCCTTACTGTCCTAACACATACTTTGCACCTCCTGTCTAAACTGTACATTGTTTTCATGTCAATGAGACTAGAAAATATGTTCACCTGATGGTTCAGAGATGGACTGAACTGTAGAAAAGCCTGATACTGCCTAATGCTGGACCTCACTACCACTTAAGTGTATGAAGTCTTTAAAATCTTCCTGCTTCAGGTATAGGAAATAAATTTTGTAAGTGAGTGATTATGACCTGTTGGGTATTAAAGTATGTCTGCAGTGCAATAAAGATGGAATTGCAAACTCAGGTTCTTACTCTGTTAAAAACAGTGAAGACAAAGTAACTTGTGTCGGCAGCTAAAGCTAAAAAAAGTCCAGGCTTTTCAAAGGCTTGAATTCTTTGTTACACCACTAGCAGACTACTTTTTGCAGTGTAGATATAAGCTTCAGCCAGTCTTAATAGTTGGAGAAAAACAACCTTGTCCTTGATTATGCAAACACGTAAATGCAGCCATGCCTTAGCAGTACTTTATTGTGCACATTTTACATGTTCTTCCAAATTTAGTGCATCATAGGTCTTGAAATTGTCACATTCATGTAGCAAATTCTTTAACAATAATACCCTTTCACTTTTCATCACCACAATATATACAATTTATGCTAACCTGTGGTAGAAGCATGTTACAGCACTGCATAAATGGATATATAAATTATACACAAGACGTACATGAAGATTTAAAGCAAAGTGGCCTACAGCTTAATGGGAGAAAAAATTGCAAGAAACATGGCTACAGCTTATTATGGGAAATCCAAAATATACTTTTGGTATATAAAACCCATGTACATTTAAAACTCCAGTGAAGTGCTGTTTGCTTGAAACTACAATATTGTGACGTAGGTTATTGCATAACTCACCCTGGCTTTAGGTGTGGGGCTGCCAAGAACCACAGGAACTGTCCTCATCGATACAGACTATTATCACTTTTCAAATCCTACTGTGAACTTGGTTACTTTTTCTCTCCTTGACCTTATACCTAAACACAATCAACTCTCTCCACTTCTATTCGGTCCTTCAAAGTCTTCCTACCATAACTAAGGCAGACTTCAAGTTAAATCAGACTCTTACCCTTCTCAACTATTGCACTTTCATCCATGCAGACATACAAATCCCTTTAACTGCAAGTTTAGTTCTTTTTTTTTTTTTTTTGTCCAGAATAGACAAATTCGTGTGGTTAGTAGGGGAAATGTTTTAATTAGTAGAGGTAAATTGGTGCTATGAGATGAAAATCAAGAAAATAAATACTAAGTGAACTACTGTAGGGGTTCCAAGAAGGTGTACAAATACCGCTGATCTTCCTCCTAGCTTGTCACTAAATGCAAACAATATCTTGATGCTACGATATCTGAAGTTTAGTTTTGGGATGTCTAAATTAGAATGTAAGTGTTATATAAGCAGACTCCTATATTTAAATCCTAGTCTCCATAAAGCTTTGGTGACTATTCACTTAGCTTATTTTCCATCCTGGCACTCAAGGAGTTAAATCAGTAATGAGTAAACTCAACTTTCACTGGTGTCAGACAAAAACAATATCTAAAATCTTGACATGGGACAGTTGCTGTGGGATTGGAACAGAGAACAGCACATCTGCATTTTGCAAATGACACTTCTGAACACTTCGACAGAAAGTTCCAACCACAGAACCTTCAATAGCTAGGACTTGTGGTTTTGGTTTTTAGACTGCAGTTGGCAAAATACTGTAGGTTGTGTAGGTCGCTCTCCTTGTTAGTAGTGGATCACATGGAATAATTATTTACAAACAACAGATTTTAAAACCTTGAATGCTGTCCACTAACAAGAGAAAGCACCATTAAAAACAAAGATTATAGCTTTATTTCTCCAGGTGAAATACGATTTAAAAGAATGGTTCCAGTGTATGTTTTAAGTTTCCAGTTACCAGAAAGATGTATCGGACTGCCATATGACTGAGTTCAAGCCAGGGTTCGCTGCCTAGGCTTTATTCGTGGGTATAACTGTAAAAAACAAAATCAAAATTAGGTCTCTGTTACTATGAAGCTAATACATTAGCTTAATTAGAGCAACTTTTGATTACAAAAGTCAACTGTACACCAGAAAGTAAGTTTCAGGGGCAAGGTAGTCTCCTAAACGCCTGATTTATTTATTTTTTTGTTGTAACCTATTGGAAAGGTAGTGACATTCAAAAAGACATTCGGTGAAATATTCAGGGAAGAGTTGGCAATGGGAGATTTAACCTGGAAGGTTTAAGCCTCAGCAAACAACAGATCTGCCATTCTAAAAATCAGGCTACTGGCCCTTCAAGAGTGGAATCCTGCCCACAGTGATCAAGACATGCTTTCAAAGAAGGTACAATCAACCAGGAATTACAGAATCTGCCAGAAGGTGGCTATTCCCTAGGGACAAAAGTCTATTTCTCTTTCTATCTAATAATCAGATGCTCTCATCTAGATGTCTCTCTATAATCCTAAATTGATGGTCTCCTGTGGTATCAAGTCCCAAAGGTTAATTAACTGGTAAGATTATACAGTTTACAAGCGTATCGTTCAGGCTTTTTATCTGAAGCGTGTTATAAAGCATGGAGAGTATACCTCCTGTACTGAGTGCTTTCTAAGCACTGAAAAAAGAAGTCTCTTTCCAACCTCAAATGAAAGATTTTTTTAATTAGACAAAGGGACAGGAGGGGTAGATAATAGTGTCTAACAAACTCTAAAAGATGCAGCCATCTTTGCATCATGTCCTTTATCTAAACAAGGCTAATGGTTTTTGGATTTTTTAAATCCTCTAAAGCAGGAGCCAGGAAGTGGCCAGAAGTGGCTTCCCACCATTTTGTACAAGAATGCTGACTTTCCTTACTGCATCATTCTGCTCCGTGACTATGTCTAGCTTGTGGCCAGGCAAACAGAACACATTTTCCAAAGTGTTTACAGGACTAATCCACACCACAGGTTTGAGAAACTCTTCTTAATCTGTCTTTAGAACAGTCCTCCGCCTATCAGGTTTTACTGGGGGAGCCAATATATATTTAAACAATGTAGGGGAAATATTTCACCTTTTCATACCCTTGTGTTAAAGATTAAAATTATAATCTAAAATAATTGTCTTTTGAGTTTTCTGTTTTGGTTAGTATACTGGATTTATACCCCCTAGTTTTTGTCTGTCTTTTCCCATAGCAACAGTGTTACAGAGAAAATGCATGCAGACCCTTAAAAAGCGGGGGAGGGAGGGGCAGGGAAGGATGGCTGCTTTTTGTCACTGCAGCCATTGCACCTAGACATTTTGCAGATGGATCCTCCAGGGTCTAGTCTCCCACTTCAGAGGTAAAGGGAAAAGGAAGAAACAACCTGAAGGCACTTACCCCCAGAAGATTTTTAGGCACGTAGCCTTCTTTATCATTGAGGCGAGCCCACCACCATTCCGTTTCATTGTCATCCTTGCGTCTCAGAATAGTAATGGCATCACCCTCGTGGAATGACAACTCATCATTATTCTGGGCTTCATAATCCCAGAGTGCATATACTACTCCTTTATTCATGACTCCCAATTTCTCTTGTACACCTGTTTCCAAGAGATAAAAGGTAAATAAAAACATTATGGGTGGTGAAACAACCTGCATTTGGGATCTGGGGGCTCTCTTCAATGTAGCACATTCATAAACTTTCATTTTGCCCACAACAGCTCTTAAACTGCATTCATGCTGCTGTCTCAACTTTCCATTTTAAAATTCTTTCAGTAATATAATTTGATCATAACACCACATATGATGGGTAATTTGTTGGAACATCTTGAGAATATGATTTTTTCTTGTTTTGATTATATGAGAGAGAAATGTTAATGGCTTTAATTTAGTCAAAGTAAGGATGAAAGTGTGTCATACTTGTCTTATACACACACTTAAGCAAACTTGTTTCCAAAATCTGTCAGTCTTTCAGCAACATCTAGGTATTGCGGGTTATTGTTTCTCAGCCTCCTGAAGGCTCAGATCAAGTGTAATAAATATCGCATTGCCCAGAGGTCCCTGACAATTTCAGTGGGACACATGAGAAATATTTTCTTAACTGAAAAGTTTGTCCCTGAATTTTTTTTCAACTTGCTGCATCAAGGAAGATGCTTCTGTGAGATATGCATTGAACTTTGAAACTACAGGTTATCTGCTGTAAAGCAATTCAGTGCACCAAACAGGTGGAGCTACTCATAACTCAAGTATGGATTTTAAGATACTCGTGGGCTGCTACAAATCTGTAATTTAGGATTGCTCGATAAGAACTCCATACCAAATGTGACAACTCCCCTCTACCAGCCAAACCCTTACCATCTTGGAAACATTCCCTTGAAATGATAGAAAAGAATCATAAGGAACTTAAGCAAAGAAAGAGAATGAGATGAGCAATGCCACAGCCAACAGAGTAGGCTAGCACTGGCATTTTGAATGAACCAGAAGTGCAACGATAATGTAAAGAGACTACTGCTGTAGTTGGCGTGGGACAGGACTTGGTAAGTGGGTCAGAAAGGAAAGGGCTGAATTTTAGGGAAGATGAAAGGAGTGTGTAGGAATTACTGAGTGTATGCATTTTGCAACATACCGTACAAGAACTGGGAACACTGAATATAACCCTCCTCCATCTCTTCACACTTGTCTGCAGCAGTTTCTATATCACTTATAGTTGAAGCAAAAATTGCTGCCCCAGATTCCACCAGTAGTTTACAGAGGTGAACACTATTGCAAGAAGCTGCGCAATGCAAAGGTGTCCTGAAACCAAACAAAACACGAAGGCATCAAAAAAAGCCAAACATTCTACAACTGCATGTAGGGATCAGTCACCCTCTGGAAGTTACATTTACAGAGCATTACATTATCTTACAAGTCATATTACAGACATTCTGTGCCCAAGTCAAATAACATGGAGTGAAATCCAGACCCCACAAAGTCAAAAAGGGGGAAAATAGAGATAGTGTAAGTGTCTGCCTACGGTTAATTCTGAAATAGTTAAGAAGCTCCTGGAGGAGCTGGATGGGTACAAGTCAGCAGGCCCAGATGACCTCCATTCACTGCTGCTGAAAGAATTGGCCAGTGTCATAGCTGAGCCACTGGCACAGCTGTTCGAGCACTCGTGGTGCTCCGGCCAGGTCCCTGAGGACTGGAGAAGGGCCAATGTGGTGCCCATATTCAAGAAAGGGAGAAAGGATGAGCCGGGTAACTTTAGACCAGTCAGTCTGACCTCTATTCCTGGGAAAATGCTAGAGAAAATAATCAAAGAACACATTTGTGAAGGCCCAGCAGGGGAAACAATGCTGAGGGGAAACCAGCACGGGTTCGTCACAGGTAGATCCTGCCTGACAAACCTTGTAGCCTTCTATGATCAGGTCACACGCTGCCTGGACGCAGAAGCTGAGGTTGATGTCATCTTCCTGGACTTTAGGAAGGCCTTCGACACAGTCTTGCACCCTATCCTCAGGAAGCTAGCAGACTGTGGAGTGGACACCTACACGGTCAGGTGGGTGGCCAACTGGCTTAGGGACTGCACCCAGAGAGTGGTGGTGGATGGTTCCTTCTCGGCCTGGAGGGAGGTGGGCAGTGGGGTCTCGCAGGGTTCGGTCCTCAGACCAATATTATTCAATATCTTCATCAGTGATTTGGATGAGGACGTGGAGAGCACCCTCTCCAAGTTCGCTGATGATACCAAGTTATGGGGCAAAGTTAGTACACCGGAGGGCAGGGAGCAGATTCAGGCTGACCTGGACAGGTTGGATCAATGGGCAGAGAGAAATAGGATGCAATTTAATAAAGAGAAATGTAAGGTACTCCACCTGGGAAGGAGGAACCCCCAGCACACCTATAGGTTGGGGAGTGTCAGATCAAAGGAGGTGATGCTCCCCCTCTACGTGGCACTGGTCAGGCCACAGTTGGAGTATTGTGTCCGGTTTTGGGTGCCACACTTCAAGAGGGACGCGGGGAATCTCGAGAGGGTCCAGAGGAGGACCACTCGCATGATTAGTGGCCTTCATGATAGACCCTATCGGGGGGAGGCTGAGAGCGCTGAATCTCTTCAGCCTTCACAAGAGAGGGCTGAGGGGAGATCTTGTGGCCGCCTATACATTTATTAGGGGAGGTCAACATGGAATAGGTGATGCGCTGTTTACTAGGGCGCCCCAGGGAGTGACTAGGAATAACGGGTGTAAACTAGTTGAGAGTGGATTTAGGTTAGATATTGGGAAGAAATTTTTCACAGCAATGGTGGCCAAGATCTGGAATGGGCTTACAAGAGAGGTGGCTAGACAGTCACCTGGCTGGAGTCATCTGACCTCAGTCCTCTTTCCTGCCAGGGGCAGGGGGTCAGACATGATGATCCATTGTGGTCCCTTCCGACTCTACAATCTACAAATCTATGAATCTATAAGTGACAATTTGCAAAGCTGTTGGATTTAAAGGGCAGAGAGCTGTGTTTGCTGGTGAGGAGTTGGAAGACAAAGAAAGGGAGAGAAACAGTTCAGTATGGCAAGCTCTCTAGCCCTCAGACATTACAAAATTATTAGATAATAATGTGCTTAGATATTAACGATCAGCTTAAACCAGAGATGTAAGGCAGAAAATTTTCCAGTGCTTTATTTTTCTGTGGGAAATTTTCCATTTCTAAAAATTAATTGTTTCATAAAACTCATTAATGAATGGATGCCAATACAATATTAGGCAAGCTTGGCAGTTTCAAAGTTGTAATTAATGTTTTTCAGGTGATTATCCCTAGGAAGTGTATGAGAGAGTACATGTGTTTTACTGATTTGTAAACAGGACGGTAAATACACTCACAGAATAATCCAAACCAAAAAGCAAGTTATGAATTCACCTAATGAGCTGTGCAGGTCAAATCACAACCAAAGCATGACATATCATGCACAGTTCTTTGGGTGTGCTAAAATGAGTGTGTCAACAGTTTTCAGTGCCTTTGGTTTTTTTCTTAAATTTAAACAAACAATGTAAGGGACGTACATGCTATTGTGTATTGGACTTTACATTTTTACAAGTATTTCAATACCAATCATTTCTTTCCACATAAAGCTTTGAATTTATTTGAATATAACATTTAAACCACATTGGGCGCATGCAGATGAGCACGCACGTGCCTCTTGCCCCTCTCAAACCACTTTGAGATGGAGCAAGAGACATGTGCGGGAATGAACAAATGTTCCCTGCGCTGCAAACTTGGGGGGCTCTGTTCAGCGCGGAGAGAAAATTAGACCCTTGGATATCCAGAAGTCTAAAAAAAACGGAGTTTAAAAAAGCGAGGCAGGGCACAGTCCCAATCTCTTCCCTGCCTAGTCCTAGCTGCCCCCCGCAAGGCCCCTGATCCCTGCCCTGTCCAGCCCCCCCAGGCCCTGATCCCCATCCCCCAAGGCCCCTGATCCCTGCTCTGCCCGGCTCCAGTCCCCCGATGTCCCCAATCCCTGCTCTGCCTGGCCCCCCCCCCTGCCTGCCCTC